GGCCCACCGCGTCGCCCAGCGCGTTGGGCACGTGGGGACATGCCTGACGCTGTTGGCAATGGTCCTCAACCAACTGCACCTTTTCCAGCTGCGGCAGATACGTCCTGGGGAGGTGCCTCCGGTATTGTCGGCAACGGAGCAGGAGGAGGGAGTGGCAGCGGCGATGCAGATGCTGGAGATGCTGCCTTTGATTGGGCTGGTCCCGGACTCCCCTGGCGCCGCCTTGGGACCTGGTCCCGCTGCGCTGAGGCGGCTTGTTCTTGCCGCCCTGAAGGCCCCACGGGACGTGGTACCAGCTGCCGCATCCGTGCTACGCTGGATGGACGGCCGGTTGAGTTGGATCCTGGCCGAGTAGTGGCCCTCTTCCCTGTGCCTGCCTGCTTGGTTACAGGCCTGGCCTTGGGCTTCCCCATGGCGGTATCTCCTTGCCTGGGGGTGATCTTGTTGTTGTATATTATCACTGGTGCATGTTGTAGCCTTCCATGATTATAGACTTGTCCCCCCTAGTCCTTGTCACACCTCACGCGCGGCCGAAGGCCGCGCTGGCGAGCGTCGGCCGCCGAAGGCGGCCGGCGCGAGCCGGCGGATTTGGAGAGTGATCCTAACTCACCAGTGAATAATGAGCTCCGGCGGATTTGGAGAGTGATCCTAACTCACCAGTGAATAATGAGCTCACTAGCCTAGATCCAGGGCCTTTGTACTAAGGAAACAGGCCTAGAAATGGCTAAGGACTAGATCCTAGAGAAGAGAGGCCTAGAAATGGCTAAGGACTAAGGCTATGCCATCTCTCTCTCTCTCTCTCGCTCTCTCTCAAGCGGTCCGTGTATTAGATCCGAGCAAGGTACAGACATGCACAAGGATATAAGAAGCAATGCATCGCTCTCTCTCTCTCTTTCTCTCTCTCTCTCTAACCCGCTCGGTTAGGAGGATGAATAACCGAACAATGAGGAACCAGGCTGGCTGCTAGAGCCTTTATACTGAGGAACTAGGGCTAAGAGGCTAAGGGAAGAGGCCTAGGTGCCTCTCTCTCTCTCTCTCGCTCTCACCCGCTCGGTTAGGAGGATGAATAACCGAACAATGAGGAACCAGGCTGGCTGCTAGAGCCCTTATACTGAGGAGCTAGGGCTAAGAGGCTAAGGGAAGAGGCCTAGGTGCCTCTCTCTCGAATGGTCCTTGCATTACATTTCGGGTGGTACAAAGGAAGATGCAAACACACCAAAAACAAACACACAAACCGGTATCCTATCTACCTCTAGTCCCCCACCTACTCCGCCCCCCCTGTCCAACCCTACTGGTCGAAAGGGGCCTCGATCAACTGGTGCAGCTATCCCTCACTGAGAGGGATGATGGGGCCCCGAAAGCCGATCTCGTCCGCCGCTAAGGCCTCATTGGTCTTGGTGCGGAGGGCGTTGGCCTGCGCCCGCTGGAGGCACACGCTCTAGCGCTGGCGGTACTCCGTCAGCAACTTTGCTGCTTCGTAGGAGGTAGGTGCTGCGTTAAAACGCAGCTTTGCCGTCAGCTTCGCGCATTGCCGCAGGTAAGTCATCACCCCTGGCGAGGGGTAGCCGGAAGTTTCTACTGCAAGCGCGTGGAACCCCACCCACGCGTTCCAACGAGCGTACTTCTCCTTTTTTGCCGCTGCCGCCCTAGCCGCCCATCCAGGAGCTCGGTTGCAGTTCTCGTCCTGGTATGATACCGGGTCCGTCACGGTCACGTCGCACATCCAAACCTCTCCAGTCAGGGGATGACGGATGGTGACATCCGCCTTTAGATTTTCAACCAGAGAGTAGACATACGTCTCCTTGTGAACCGTAAACCCCGCCTCAGCCCCTATGTTCGCAATCTCATCCCGCAGAGCATGATGGGTTGCGGTCCTTCCTTTCCCCTTCTCGCAGCACATGAGGTGGTTGGGGAGGCGATCGTCGGGGAAGGTGGTGCGGTAGCGGCAGTCACAGCGTCTAGGCACGGGGAGGGGGAGGCCTAGGCGGAAGGCAGCTGCAGTTGAGAGCTAGGATGGGCCCATCCGGAGCGAGGGGATGAGCGGGATCGCCAACAGCCAGTCCCCCGCGCCTAGGCCTAGCACCGACTGCATCCTTTGCGCGTGGCCAGAACAGGGGTTGGGGCGCATCCGCCTTGCCTCGCGCATGACTCTCAAGAAGCGGCGCGAGTGAACCGCCAGCGCTAGGCTCTGCTGCAGCTTGAGTCCCTTGGGGTCCGCCTTCCCGGCCTGGAGCACCTCGAGAGCCTCAGGGGGGAGAGCTGCCTCGGCCGCAGCGAGGCGTGCAGGCAGCGCGTGCGGAGAGCCGTGGGTCGGGTCCAGTAGGGTGAGGAGCGCGGCGACAGCAGGGTGCAACGAGTCCTCCAGGGAGTGCAGGAGGTGGGCGGAGCTGATCACTGAAGCGAGGTAGGCGTAGCTGCCTTCGACGGCGGGGTCAGTGATGCCCAGACCTCCCAGAGTCACTGGCAGGGCCGCCTGCCGCCAAATCCTCCGTCTCTCCCTGGCACTCCTCGGGCTCATGATGTGGGCCGAATCCAGGAAGGTGTGTAGAAGCTGTTCCCCCCAAGCAGACCATTCCGCTTCAGGAAGGGCCTCCAGGGGGTGGTTCTGGCCAGAAAGGATGCTCGGCGGTTGACACAGCGGGTGAGGAGGAGGAGACTAAGCTGGGGATCCATCTGGGCCAGCAGGGGGAGTGGGGCTGCCGCTGCTGCCAATCTCTCTCTCACAGCGCCTGCGCAGCCCCGGGGTGCGCCTACGGGGCTGCCGAGAATCTGCAACCCCTCTTCAGAGATAGTAATGCCTGGGGGAACTGAAGAGGGGTCGATTGCTGCGGCGGACCACGCCGCGCACTTGGCCGGGTTGTGTAACAGGCCGAGGGCGGCTTGTGCAGATGTGAGGTGGACAAAAGCCGCTGTGCAGGCCGAGGCGTCGCCGAGCAGCGTGATGTCATCGGCGTACGCCAGCAGGACCACCTGAGGGTGTGCAGCCGCCGTGTCAACGAGGCACGGGTGGATGCTTGCCGCAAACAGGAGGGGGCCGAGCGGGTCCCCTTGGCGAACTCCTCTGGCGCTCTGCAGCGGGGCTGCGCCGAAGTCGTGGTCGAGGTAGAGCGAGGAGGGAGCCCCATAGGAAAGGCGGACGAGGGGGATCAGATCCTTCAGCGCCTCGTTTTTCAGCCCCTCGAACACCGCTCTCCTTTCGACCGCGTTGAACGCGTTCGCGAGGTCAATCTGCAGCGCCACTGCCCCAGGGTGCACTTCCAGGTACGTGCGAGTGGTGTGGATAGCCGCTTCGATCCCCCCTGCTACTGCTACTCCGAACTGAAGGGGAGCAAAGCGAGTACGAGCGGCCTGCGCGGTCAGAAAAAGAGCGGCTTTTGCAATAATCTGGAGGAGACACTCTCCCACCGCGATCGGCCTCGTCCCTCCTTGAGGTTTCGTAAAGGCTAACAGGCGGGAGGCCGTTAGGAGGTCTCTCTCTCTCTCGCTCTCACCCGCTCGGTTAGGAAGATGAATAACCGAACAATGAGGAACCAGGCTGGCTGCTAGAGCCTTTATATTGCGGAACTAGGGCTAAGAGGCTAAGGGAAGAGGCCTAGGTGCCTCTCTCTCTCTCTCTCTTTCTCGCTCTAACCCGCTCGGTTAGGAGGATGAATAACCGAACAATGAGGAACCAGGCTCGCTGCTAGAGCCTTTATACTGAGGAACTAGGGCTAAGAGGCTAAGGGAAGAGGCCTAGGTGCCTCTCTCTCTCTCTCGCTCTAACCCGCTCGGTTAGGAGGATGAATAACCGAACAATGAGGAACCAGGCTGGCTGCTAGAGCCTTTATACTGAGGAACTAGGGCTAAGAGGCTAAGGGAAGAGGCCTAGGTGCCTCTCTCTCTCTCTCTCGCTCTCACCCGCTCGGTTAGGAGGATGAATAACCGAACAATGAGGAACCAGGCTGGCTGCTAGAGCCCTTATACTGAGGAACTAGGGCTAAGAGGCTAAGGGAAGAGGCCTAGGTGCCTCTCTCTCTCTCTCTCGCTCTCACCCGCTCGGTTAGGAGGATAAAAAACCGAACAACGAGGAACCAGGCTGGATGCTAGAGCCTTTATACTGAGGAACTAGGGCTAAGAGGCTAAGGGAAGAGGCGTGCCTCTCTCTCTCTCTCGCTCTCACTCCCTCTCTCTCTCCCACTCAATCTCTCATCTCACTTTCTCACTCCCGCAGATCGTCCAGCCGCTTTTTCACATCCTATCTGCCAGCCGCTGCTACTTTTGCTCGCCCCTCTTTCTCATTTGTGACGAGCACCGGGGCTCTTATGTAGCAGCAGCGGAGTGAGGGCGGTGCGAGGGGTGAGGGGGTTGCGAGGGGTGAGGGGAGTGAGAAGGCCGAGAGGGTTAAGGAGGGTGAGAGTGGTGAGGGCGGGGAGAGGGGTTATCAGTTGGTACACGTGACTGTACATGGTGTGACACAAGCATAGGCGCACGTGATTGAAGAGAGAGCGACTGCAAGCCAAAGGATACAAGCAAAGGTGAGTGAAATTGAGGAGGCAGCAAAAGCTCCTGAGACCTACCCTGCGAACGCACATGCTTTCCCTTTCTTCACCTCTCTCTTAGATCCCTCTCCCTCAATCGGTGCTATTGTAATCGCTGCTGCTGCAACTGCTGGTCTTGTAACCGCTGCGCCTTTTTCGGCCTGACAATTCCTCCTGCTGCCACGCCTTTGCCCCGCCTCTCACGACTCCACCTCTCCTTTGGACTCGCCATACGCCTCCCTGCCACTCCTACCTTCGGCCCCTTGTATATTCCGTTCATCCCTCGAGGATTCGGAGTTAGAGTTGTTGGTGCTGTCTTTTCCTCTGCTCTCTTGACTCTTCACACCCTCCTCGCTCCCTTCACTCTTCCCACGCCCCTCGTTCCCATCACTGCCGTCACGGCTATGATGGCATCCTTGCAACCTTCACCACATCCTTACTTGTCTTTGCCTCTATTTCTCCCCGCCCCTCCTCTCCTTTCCCTCATTCCTCCTCTGAGCACGCCTTCTCTTCTTGATATACGGCCTGCCTTGCCCTGCGTGTCCCTGCCTGCTTGCCCTGTATATGAGACTGGCCAGCATGTTGGCATTTCTGCCGCTCCACCGCCCTCACATCCCTGTGTGATGCCTGCCTGTGCTTTGCATTCCCATTATCAGCCCCACTCTGAACCACACACTTGCTCTCCTTGCCACCGCCCAGCCCCCCTCTTCTCCCTTCTCCCTTAAGTCCCTTCCCTCTCTTCTCTTCCTCCTCTCCTTCCCCTCCCTCCTCTCCCTCCTCCACCACCTCCTCCTCCTCCTCCTCCTCCTCCTCCTCCTCCTCCTCCTCCTCCTCCTCCTCCTCCTCCTCCTCCTCCTCCTCCTCTCTCTCCTCTTCCCCCTCTCCCTCCTCTCCCTCCTCCTCCTCCTCCTCCTCCTCCTCCTCCTCCTCCTCCTCCTCCTCCTCCTCCTCCTCCTCCTCTCCCTTCTCGTCGTCCTCCTTTTGCCTCCACTCATCCCGATCGACCCTCTCCTCGCCATCCTCTGTCCTCCTCCTCTCGGGAACTTCCCCCTCCCTCCTCTCCCTTCCCCTCCTCTCCATCCTCTTCCATCCCCTCCTCGCTCTCCCCTTCCCTTCCCTCATCCCGTCCCCACCTCTCCTCAGCGTCCTCTTCTTCATCCTCCTCTTGGGCACTTTCCTCTCCCTCCTATTCCTCTAAACCCATTTCTTCAACCTCCTCCTCTTCCTCGCCCTCAATCACTTCACCTTCCTCTTCCTCCAATTCCTCCCCCATGCTCGCTCCACTCCCCCCATCCACCACACCCACATCACACCCCCCTCTCCCGCGCCCATGCAACCCACTCCCTTCCCAAGCTGCCCTGCCAAGCGACATGGTGCCCCCTTATTCTCTGCTGCACCCAACCCCCTCACTATCACCCGCTCATCCGCCCTCTCCCGCTCTCTACCCTTCCACCCCTCCCCCTGCCCCTTTGCTCCTTCAACCTCCTTTCCACTTCCTCCACTTCCATCTCATCCTCCTCCCCTTTCCCATAAAAAATATCCGCCACTGTCCCCTCCCTTGCTCCATCCTCATTCCTCCCCTTGCAGCCCACCACACCGCAATCCTCATCTACCTTCTTCCCAACAGTGCGCCCACCCATCCTCCCACTCATCCCCACATCAATTATTTCCACGTCTTCATCACCTCCTGCATTCTGCCCCGCCTCCTTGCTCGTCCTCCTGCCCGCCCCACTCCCTTCGGAACCTCAACCCTTCCTCCTTTACGCCTTGCCTCTCTGCTGCCCATCCCGTCCTCCCCCTCATGCCCCTCTTTCCTCACAAATCTTGTTCTTCTAGGTTCCCTTCGCGCACTCGGTACCTCTTCACTGAAGCAATGCCGCACGGGCATCGAGAAGGGGCTTCAGCCAATCGCCGCGAGCTGGAAGAGGGATGGCGCCACCGTCTCCTCCGACTTGATGACCGATCGGTGTGGGAGGCGGCAGGCGAATGTCATGCCGGTCAACGATTCGGGAGCGGTGTTTATCGAGGCTATCGACTGCAACATGGAGTCAAAAACCGGCGGCTACATCGCGTCCCTCCTCCAGCCCATCATCGAGAAGGTGGGGCCCGAAAATGTGGTAGCCCTTTGCATGGACGGGGGCTCCAACTACGGGGCCGCCTGCAAAGAGCTGATGGCGGATTAGCCGCACATCGAGTACGTGCCGTGCGCTACGCATGTGCTCGATCTCCTGATGGAGGACGTGGGCAAAATCACGTAGTGCAAGGACATTGTGGATCGGTGCGGGGACATGATCACCTACGTCCGCAACCACCATTTCACCCGCAATTACATGAGGAGTAGGAAGGTGAAGGGAGGAAAGGGGAAGCAGCTTGTGAAGCCGGCGGGGACCAGGTTCGGCACCAACTACATCGCCCTCTCAAGGCTTGTCCAGCTGCGGTCCACACTGTCGCAGTTGGTGCTGAGCGAGGAGTACGCCAACTGGTCGGCGGGGGTTAGGAAGCTGACGGCGGATACGTTCCGCGGCCACGTCATGGACGACGCATGGTGGAAGAACGTTACCTACATGGTGGAGCTCTTGGCGATTCCATTCAAGGTGATGCGGGCCACGGACAGCAGCGCGAAAGGCATGATGGGAACCATCAACGACCTTATGCTGCAGCTGACCAAGGATGTGAACGACAAGCTGGAAGCGGGGGAGAATATTCTGCCGCGGGCGGTTGTGGATGACATTGGGAAGATTGTTAGGCGCTGTTGGGACGAGAGCCTTGCTTGCGCTCTTCACGTCGTGGGGCGGATCCTGAACCCGGCAAATCAGGAGGAGGGTATTTTCCGCAACGACGTGGAATGTACCCGCATCTTCAAGGCGTTCATCGCAGGTCACTACGACGGCAAGACGTTCACCAACAAGGACGGTGAGGAGAGGCGGGCCTCTCTTGTTTTGCAGGAGGGGCTCACGGCCTTCCTCACCCTTGAAGGATCCTTCGGCCTCCCTGAGGCAATTGCTGACAGGGAGGCCGTGAAGGCAGGCAAGCACTCGATGGTGCAGTGGTGGGGATGGCACGGGACTGACCAACCCCACCTGACCAGCCTTGCGTGCCGTGCCCTGACACAGCCGGTGTCGGCCTCGCCGACAACAGACAACAGTGATCACTGTCAAGGTCAAGCTGGGCCTTGCTACTTGGGCCTTGCAAGCTGGGCCTTGCAAGGCCCATGTCAGCCTTGCAAAGAGAACTGGATGGATGGCTCCAAAAGACAAGCACAGGCAGCATGTAGAGTACATGTGGAGTAAGCACCCACTATGTGGAGAGAACAGCAGCACAGCAAGTTTCGCCAACAGCACCGGGTGGCAGGCAATGGAAAGAGAGAGGCAGGAAGATAAGAAAACTGCCTGAAAGTGCTCAAAAGCGCTCACTGAAACCTTGCGCATGCATTTCAAAAGCGCCCACCGAGTCGAGCACAGAGTCGCCTCACCCAGCTGATGTGAACATCACTCCAACAGATTTGTGACCCACTCACCGAGTCGAGAACAAATCACGTGTGCAAGTCATCACAAATCACTCACCGAGTCGAGCACAGAGTCGCCCCACCCAGCAGCACCGGGCAGCAGGTGGTCGCAGTAGAGAGCGGGGTTGATGCGGAAGGTCTTTGAGTAGCCCATGCTGCTCCACCCATAGCCGAACGCCGCCACCTCCTGGCACATGTGCAGGCCGGGCACGAGAGCCTTGTGATCCGTGCAGGCTGCCATGGGGAAGGCGGGGGCGTTGGTGTTGTTCTCCACACAGATGCGCTGCAGTGAGGATGGGGATGCAACGGGGGAGGGGGAGGGAGAGGGGATTGAACAGGGTTCGTTTCCCCTGGAGCGAAAGGTATGTCTTCAACAGTCAGCTGTATCACGGCTTGAGTGTTTAAGGCTCCTCGAGGTGACATAAGAAGTTCAGGATGTTAGAAACCCTATTGCGAGACAAACTAGAGCTTACCTTCATCTCTTGACTATTTGAAGGAATAAGGCAGCAAAACTATCTGCTGGAGTATGTGGTGCAAAAAGACAAAGTAATGGTGGCTTCTACAGAAGCGTCTGGACAGGACTAAAGAGCAAACAGCCCAGGAAAAAAAAAAAAAAAAAAAAAAAAAAAAAAAAAAAAAAAAAAACACACACACACACACACACACGCACGCACGCACGCACACACACACACACACACACACATTGGGAAGGGAAGGGATTGGAGATCTGACCTTTCCAGGGACGAGAGGTTGTGAGCATTCAATGTTACGGTTCAGGTGTGTAATGTTGGTGTCAAGGATGCTGTTGATTGACGTGCACGTGTCACCCTGGGGTGGGTCAGGGGGAAGAGATGGATGTGTGTGAGTGCAGGTGGGGACGAAGTGTGTCTCACCAGGTTGGTGGTGCACATGCTTGTGTAAAGGGCACCCATTCGTGCCTCACCTGGTTGGCGGTATACATGCTGGGCAGCTCTTGTTGGCAGATGCCGACACGTTGACTATCAACCCACGAGGTATGGGCTTGTCACATGCCATACCCTGTCAAGGCACCATTAAAGAGAACAGCGCAACATCACACGAACTGAATTTTCTGGTGATTGTTGAAGGGGCAATACCGTAAGTCTCTGCCAGCACATGCTATCAGCAGCAAACCCAGCAACCGATGTCGAGTTAAGAAAACACGACCAGATTGGCCTTTTGTTTTTTTCCAGTGCTTTTTTTATAGATACACGTGATCAACACTTGTACTCAACACGGTCGCGTTTTATTGGGAAAAAAACAACTACGTAACTCAAGTTTCTGGTCGGGTAGGAACTCGAGTTGGGTAAGAACATTGACTCGCATGCCCATGTGTAAGCGAGGGGTGTTCATCAATACACCTGACCTCATCAGCAAGCTTCACCTTGTTGCTCTCTAGCAGCTCTTGAGGTGAGAGATCAAAGATGTCGAGCAGCAGAGGGCATGTGAGACCAGGGGGTGCTGGGAAGAATGGCACTCGAGTAGCAGACTCACTCACTGGTGGACAGAGGACAGAAAAGGGAGAGAGGCAGAAAGGGGGGTATGGGGGGAAAGGGCAAGAGGAGAGATAGGCAAGGGGGGCCGGAGGTTAAGAAGCCAGAGCTGAAAGCTTTGGAGCAGAGGGCAAGTGAGGCTGCGGAGCCGGGACGATGGGCCCCACCCCACAGGACCAAGGCAGTCATTGGTAGAAGAAGGGGCGTGGGGGGAGCGGGGGGGAGGGGGAGAGTAGAAAGGGCTCCAGCAAAGCGGGTAGAGGGAAATCGCATAAAGTGGGCGGCGACAAGAAGGATGGTACGGTGATGGACTCCCTAACATAGTGATTAGAGGTGGAACCCAGAGGAGAGAATGTGTGTGCGATGGGAGTAGGGAGGGATATCATAGGAAGAGCAGCGCTCAATTGAAGCGCATAGAAAGAAGTAGCCTTACAATTTTGTGCAGAATGTGTTTTTTTTAGGAACAAGCCTCTTAGCTGATGTGGGGTGCGAAGCTCAAGGTGAAGATAGGGTTGAGCAAAAAACCGAACAGGTTTTTTTTTTTGGCTTAAAGTGTTCGCCGAACAATGTTCGATGTTCGCCCGAACACGTTCGTGTTCGGGCCGCTGCTGCAATTTGCCCCGCGACGAACACGAACGTGTTCGAGGTTCGCCCGAACACGCCTTCAAAGGCGAACGGCGAACACCATTTTTTGCTCAAAGTGTTCGCCGAACCGAAAACTGTTCGGTTCGGCAAACGGCGGTGTTCGTGTAGGGGCGAACACCTTGCTCATCCCTAGGTGAAGACAAGAGGGAGGTAGGGATCAGTGGAATTTTTACGTGCCTAGCTGTGAGCTAGATGACAAGGTGGGGTATAAAGAAGAAATCTCAGGGTTAACATGATGGGCAGGATGGGCGACTAGAAGCAGAATACACCTTGCCCATCCTGGCCTCGCGAACATAGAGAGACTTACCTTGGTTACTGAGTAGTCGAAGAAACTGAGTCAATGCACACGAGGCCCTCTTGTGCAGTCGATGCACCGGTGTGCATACATAGGAGATAAAAATAACAAAGGATCTCTCGACTGACCAGAGTTACAAAGTATGCTTGCGAGGCTAGTCCAGCAGTACTCGCAACATTGCAAAATGGGTCATTTATTGTTGCAGGCAACCATCAGAACACATGCCAATTCAGCAGCACAGGTGCACAAGCAAGTGCTGCTGTTGTAGGCAAAAGACAGGAAACGATGAGAATCTTCCTCACCTCAGGTGTGTTCGAGTCAACTCAGAAATCAAATCGATAAAAGCTAGGTTAAAAGCGAGGTTGAAGTCTAGGTTAAAAGCTAGCTATGAGCGGGCAGAAAGCAGGTAAGGTGATCGCCAACCTTGAGAGGCCATGTGATCGCTTCAAGCAGTTGACTGACGTGATTCAGCTGAGCTACAGGGTAACGTTGGGGAGAGGTTAGTGTACCTTGGTTACAGGGTTGCTTGAGGGGGTTAGAGTAGTCGAGGGGGAAGAAGGAGGGTGGGCAGAGGCAGAAGGAGGAGGCATCATAGCCCTCCAGGCACACGCCAGGCGCACACGTGTCAGTGCTGTTAAGACGACATGCGGGGAACTCTGGAGGGACATTGAAAAGGTGGAGAGGAATTTAGAGAGGATAGTGGTGATGAGATGGTAAGCGGGAGGAAAATACAGAGTACTACAGTGAATGGGGTGGAAGGCGATGAAATGGTACGTGGGGAGTGAAACGGTTAAAAGTGCAGCCACTTAGCTGGTGAAAGCGGAAGGAATTATCAATGTGCTGGTTGATTGATTGTGCTGTGTTATGAACGTTGGAGTTTTGGATGTGGCAGAATTTGAGGGGGTTGCAGCTGCAATGGCTGAAATGAGAGGGCACGAGCTCGAGTTGATGAGACGTAATTTTAATCAGGATTTACCCTTGTCAATACCCTTGTGCACTATGTGGTGATGGCTGCGTGGACTTACCATTATAACCAGCCAAGCTTACCGTTGAAGCATGTTTGGAAGGCGGGCATTTGGGGGAGCTTGTAGCTGGGCTGGCTGAGAGGGCACGAGCACGTGCTGGTGTATGTGCCTGTGGCTGCTGACCTCACCGCACTGCACCTGCCAGCACCGCATGGATTCACGTCCCACGCCGTGCATGGGTTGACGTCTGTGCGGCATGGGGAGTGAGGAGAGGAGAGACAAGGAGAGACAAGGAGGAGAAGATGATGGATGAAAGGGGAAAAGGGCTGAACAGAGGAGCAAGAAGGGTATGAAAACATTATGATTGGAGTGGAATCACTAGTTGAGTGAAGTGAATACATGGATGCATTGTTCCCTCTTAGCGATTCAATTCAAACGCATGCATGAATCTTGTGGTGCAGGCACGATCAGTCACTGATAATGAATTATAATTGCGAGCATATGATCTATGTTGGAAAAAAACGCTCAGCGCAAGAAAAGAATGTTAGCGTGTATCCGGAGATTCGTGATATGCGGTATGCTCGGTTAGGCAGCCCGTCTGAAAAAAAAATGTGTGTACAAATTGCACAAACCCAAATGTCGACTGCAACTGTATTTCCCCTTAGTACCATACTGTTCTTTTCCAACATAGCATATTCTCACAAATGTGGCACATGGACATTGGGACCAAAGCAAGTGTGCATGTGCAGACAGACAAAGATGAACAGATGCATGGCTCTACAGGCGCAGATGCATTCAGGCACACACACCTGAGAAATCAAAAGATACATGCTTCAATGGCCCGTACACAACACATACACTTTCGAGCCACAGATGCACACATTCACACACAGACGCATGGCACTCACCGAACCGTTCATACGAACCTGTGAATCGAAACGTCCACGCTTTGATGGACTGAACACATGCCTGCGTGCTGGCACTGCTGAACCCAGCAAACACCGGAATCACTCCCTCAGTGCTGCTATTGCCATCATAGAACACAGAGCACAGGTCAAGACTCAGCTTCACACTCCCCATCCTCGTAGCTCCTCTATAAGTCACTGCCTCTAGAGTCTTAGTGGCAGCCGTATAGTCCACCCTCATGCTGTATAACGAGGATGAAGTGTATCTCTTCTGAGATGAAAAAGCCAGCCGCCGTGTCACGTTAAAGTCAGTGTGAACGGAGAGAATTGCCACATCATTGTAAATGGCATAGTTAGGGTCAGTGCCGCTAAAGGCATCAAACATCACCGCCACACTCCTCCCTCCATCCGCCCACGTCCCATTCGCATCCTTCTTGTCCGACTCCCGGCCGTATCCCATGTCCGTCCCTCCTTGACCCACCCCCGGCCGAGTACTTAGCACGAAAACCACCCCAAACCCATTGGTCTCTTTTCCCTTGAGCTCAAAAGCAAACCACGAGGTGAAGGACCGAGCCTTGCACACCAGCGCATCAGTCTTTCCACCCTTCTTCCCCTTGCGAGGGGCAGGGGCGGGGAGGAGCGAGAGCAGGGGCAGGGGGAGTGGAAAGAAGGCGGCGCCTGTCTCCTGGTCCTGGTTGCCCGGGGTGAGTTGCAGCGAGGAGAAGCCGAGGCGAGCAGAGCCCGAGGCAGTGAAGGGCGCGGCTGGCGTGAGGAAGGGCAAGGCGAGCGATGGCTGCTGCCACACGGGGAGAGGCGCCGGCGCTGGAATGGGGGAAGGGTGTTTGGGGGAGAGGAGGGAGGGGAGGAGGGAAACAAGGGGGAAATAAGAAGCAATAAGGGAGAGAGACGGCGGATACCACACGGGGAGAGGCGCCGGCGCTGGGAGAGGGGGGAGTGGATGAATTGGGGGAAAAGAAGGAAACAAATAGAGGAGTGAGTAAGGTTGAGGCGAAGGGGGAGGGAACAGATGAGCGGAGGGATCTGGAAGTAGAAGAACCGCACACTACTTCTGAGACGCCGAGTAAACGGGTAGGAGAACATATGACACGCCACACCAACCCCTTCCCCCAGTTCCCCCCTTGCCCCACCCCTCCTCCATCTCCTTCCACTTCATCTCACTGTGGTTGTCCACGTGGAAGGCCCAGGAGAGGATGCCGTGCGCCGGGCAACACATAGAGCTGGTAGCAGACAGGAAAGAGGACGTCAGCCGCACATGCAACAGTGGAGGGGCTGAAGAGGAGATCATAGGATGAATGGTCGGAAAATGCATGACACATAACATAACCCTTTCATTCGACTCTTGGATCTGTCTTGGCTTTACACACCTTGCCCAGCCTGCTCTGCCTGCCGCCCATTCAAGCCTGCTCTGCCTGCCGCCCATTCAAGCCTGCTCTGCCTGCCGCCCATTCAAGCCTGCTCTGCCTGCCAGCACTGCACACCTTGACTCTTGGCTACCACAAACCTTTCCCTGGCTCCTGTCTCTCTCACTCACCTTGGGTGTCGACCTGGAAGGCCCAGGAGAGGATGTCGTGCGTCTGAGTGTGCAGTGGCAGCAGCCCCGTGCCGGCTGCAAACCCCGCATGCACCAACACGGCCTCCCCCTCCCCGCCGTCCTCCTTTGGAGCGGAGTGAAAGAGATCGCAGGCGTTGAAGGGGAGGGAGAGGAGGGCGGAGGGGGGCATGGCGGGCGAGGAGGAGAGGCGCACGGAGAGCAGCGAGGAGGTGGCGTTGTAGGCCACCCACGCATGCAGCGTCTCGTTCTTGTTGCCGCCCAGTGAGGCCATGCCCGCGGGGTGCACAGACGCATGGCCTGCTGACGTCATGCTGTAATCCACGTTTATCCCCACGTGGTGAGTGGTTGGGTCCGAAAACAGACGGGTTGATGACGTGTCAAACTCCACTGCCAGGCTGTGCTGATGTGGCAAGCTGCTGTTGAGGGTGGCGCCACTGCCGCTGCTGCCACCAATCGTGGTGCATGTAACGGCCCCGTTCTCCACCTCACACAATTGTTCTTCCCCCCCTTCCAACTCCACAAACATCTCCTCCTGCCGGTAAGGCCTCCTGCCATATCCCATGTTTGGCCCGGGCAGCCCGACGGTCGGGTCGGGCAGGAGAACGAAGGCTAAGCCGTCGGCCCCGAGAGCAGCGGGGTGGGGGGAGGAGAGGCGGAAGGAGAAGGAGGAGGAGAAGGAGTAGGGGCGGCAGGGGGAGGTGGGGGTGGCGGGGGAGACGAGGGGGAAGGGCGTGGGGTGCAGGGCAAGGCACGCTTGGTGGGGCGGAGAGAGAGGGGTGAGGCGCAGGGAGGAGGGGAGGAGGTGGGCCGAACCGGAGGTGAGGAGGGGAGAGGAGGAGGTTAGTGGGGAATAGGAGAAGGATGGAGGGGCGGAGGCCACTGGAATTTGGGAGGAGGCGGGAAAAAAAAGGGGGAGGGGGAAGAAATGTGAGAATCGGTCATGAGCAAAGTAGAGTAGGAGGCGGACTATCAAAAAAATGAATGAGCTTCAAGGATTGTGTGACCTTCGCGTGGCTCCCAGAATGAACGCCCAACACTATGCTCCCTGCTGCCAGTGCACCCGACCTGTTGTGAGTAGAGTGAGTGCGTGTGATCTCAAGAAGCGCACCAGTGATCTTAAAAAGCGCACCAGTGATTCTAAAAAGCGCACCAGTGATTCTAAAAAGCGCACCAGTGATTCTAAAAAGCGCACCAGTGATTCTAAAAAGCGCATCAGTGATTCTAAAAAGCGCACCAGTGATTCTAAAAAGCGCACCTGTGCCTCTGGGAGCCACCGTGATCAGATCCACATCGATGCTCCCCGCTGCCGCTGCCGCTGACGTCAGCGCCCCGCCTTCCACCGCCGCTGCTGCTGATGCTACAGTCGCACCCCCAGGCACGGAAGCACCCCCAGACACGGACGCACCCCCAGGCAAGGTCGGAGGCAAGGGAACGGGCACGTCAATGGGAACAGGCAATTCCACAGGGCCACCAGAGGGCGTGCTGCCGCTGTCCGCCTCCTTTCCCTCGAGCAGCACGAGGTGCAGAGCAACGCCTTGCGGCGGGAAGGAGAGAGCAGCGGCGGAGGCTGAGGAGGGTGGGAGGTGGAAGGAGAAGGGCCCGTGCTGGCGCCAGGGCAGCAGGCCGGAGAGCGAGAAGGAGTTGTTGCGGCAGGGAACGCCGACGGTCCACTGATGCAGCACCACCATCTGTCCGCTGCTCATAGCGGCTGCCAGCGCCCTGCCCAGCTCACCCTCGTCCATGCTGCTGCTGCTAGTGCTGCCGGCAGTGGCTGGTGGTGGTGGCAGGGGCACGGCGACGATCATGGCTCGCACCGGCCGTACTCCAGCTGCAACAGACACATCCATCATGCACTCGCGCGCCCTTGCATAGAAATACACCGAAAACTTCCCCTGCGGCTGCTGCTGCTGCTGCGGCTGCTCTTCCCCTTCCGCGACACACAGCAGCTGCCCCAGTCCCTGCACCGGCCACACTGCCCCTTCCCTCTCACTCGCCCCGGTTCCCCAAAGCTCCCCGCCACTGCCGTCGCTGGGCTGCAGGCGAACGAACCGACCGCCCTCAGCAGCAACGGACGGGTCCCCGGGAGGAACCTCCCCTCCCCCTCCCCCCGCCCCAGCTCCCTGCCCCGCCCCCTGCCCCTCCCCCTGCCCCTCCCCCTGTACCTCCCCCGCGCCCTGCCCTTGCTGCGCTGCTGCGCCGCCGGGGACGAGCGGCACCCAGGACGACAGGGGCGAGGGCCAGTCTGCTGCAGTGGAAGCTTCCTCGAAGCCCGCATTGCGCAGGAGGTTCAACGAGGGAGCTAGGAGGTGGGAGGAGAGGAGGTGGTTGGGGAGGGGAGGAGAGATGACGTGAGGGGGAGTGAGGGGGGGGGGGGTGGGGGGGAGGGAGGGGGAGGGGGGAGGGGAGGGGGGAATGTGACGACGCATGTGCCACTCCTGCGGAGCAAATCTTCAACAAACGAAAAGGGGAGGAGGTGGCAAACGCATCTGGCAGACGAAGTGGGCGAATAGGGAGGCGCAAATAGGCGGGGAAAGGGGTGCGAAGGCGTGGGTCGTGCAGGAGAGCTGGGCGGGAATTGCTAGTTGTCCAGCAGGTCTGGCCTAGACGGGGGTAGAGTTGAGCAGAGGGGTAGAGTTGAGCAGAGGGGTAGAGTTGAGCAGAGGGGTAGAGTTGAGCAGAGGGGTAGAGTTGAGCAGAGGGGTAGAGTTGAGCAGAGGGGTAGAGTTGAGCAGAGGGGTAGAGTTGAGCAGAGGGGTAGAGTTGAGCAGAGGGGTAGAGTTGAGCAGATGGGTGAGTCAGAGGCGTACTAAAGGCGGAATGCTTGGCTTGGTCCGGGAAAGTAGTAGCGGAATGCCGCGGCGAAAGTAGTAGCGGCGTTGTTGTTACTGCGGGGAACTGTTGCCGCGGCGATGCCGGTGTTTTCGAGAGAACTCTTTGTGGGGTCGCAAGACTCAGTACCTTGAGCTGCGAGGCTGGCGCATGTCGGCACGGCAGCATTGGCGACGGCGACGAGCGAGAGTAAGTGCGCGGTTACCACAAGCACGCGAAGAACGACGATGACGCGGTCACTGATGCCAACATGAGCTGGCCGACTGGACGCTGCTTGTTCGGGATCTGTGCCTATAAGCAGGGACGCAGCGAGTGACTCGCTATAGAGTGTCCCGCCGCTACGAATAGCGGATGACTGGTTCGCGTGTGGCATGGAGAGAAATGCGGTGAAAGCGGGCGGCGAATTGCGAGAACGAGCGAAACTTGCGGTGATGGCAGCATCGCGGCGCGATAGAAGAAATTGATCCTAGCGTCTGCGGTTCCGATCGTACTATATTCCATTCCTGTCCGGTGACTACCTCCATAACAACCCAGGGCAAAGCCAGGCTAGACGGCAATTCTGGATCAGGTTTTCAGGCGGGTCCGTACTGGCTCGATTCGGGCTCGATTCCTAGTACCACACTGCACCACGCTTGCATCTCTCTAAAACGCACCAAAATGCTTTCCACCTCTCTGGACTTCGCCGCATCTTTCTAAAACGCACCATAATGATTTCCACCTCTCTGGATTTTGGAATCTGGCCAGCATATGCTGTTACTGAGTTGGGCTTTGGTTGAATGAGAGATGGGATATGCAAGCTCGTGGTGGCCTGACGGGGCAGTCACGTGTATAGTACATGTACAGCTACAGCTACAGAAAGGAAAGTGAGGGGAATGAAGGGGCGAGCGAAGGGGTCTTGTTGTCGGGACTGAAGGCAGCCGAAAGGCCCACGCACATGCCGCGGCGATTGCTGGAGTTCGGTTCGGTTTCGTTGGAACGGAAATGGGAAAATGAGTGACCTGAGAATCTGCGCACGAGAGAGATACGGTACGAAAAACCATCTGGGATTTCGTTTGGTTGGATAATTACTGTGCCCCCTCCACACAGATGCACTTGTTAGAGGGGTGTTTACTGTTCCCTTTGAACAGTACTCCCAACCCCATCCTTATCCTTATCTTTTCAGATTTCCTAGTGCCACGTGGCACTCTACCTTTCTTGCTTCTACTTTCTAGTCCCACGAAGTACTTTCCGACATTCGACCTTGCATGCTATATCATCCTTGCTTGTATCCACCAATATCAACGAATTCTCATTCAACTCTTCAATTACTGAGTTACTTCTTCGCCCATTTCGCCAACACTCTCTTTCGCCAAAGTCTTCCGCCGCGCTTATCCTCAATTTAGTCAACCCCGCTATTCCTTAGTGGATTTAGGCCAAGGGGCCTAACACTTGGTATCAGAGCCTTCGCGGGGAGCGACTTCCAACGAGCGACCGTCAACGACGAGACTACGACGTCATCGTCCCGCGGTACCGACTTGCAGACTTGGAGTCGTCGAGCCAACATGGACGAGACCATGAACGCTCTCCCCAACGACATGGGTAATGCGCTTGCCCAACTCATGCGCCAACTCGAAGCGTTGACGCTGGAAAATCGTCAGGTACGAGCTGAAATGCAACAGCTTCGTGAATTCGCGTCAATTTCTCATGGACATGCCACACCATCTCCTGCACCCAACACGTCGACTGGCGCGGAAGCGCTGCCGGAACGTCGAAGCGCACTCAAGCCGCAAAAACCCGAGTTGTTCGACCCAAGTCAATGCGACGCGAACGTGCGGACGTGGCTCTTCATGCTGAACAACTACTTCGCCGCGAGCGGGGTGCAAGAGGCGGACGCGCAGCAGCGGATCGAGTACTCCGTTACGCTGCTGAGGGGCCCGGCCTTGGAGTGGTGGCGCCAACTCACGCAAACTGCTATAAGAAGGGCTCAGACGGACGGGCATCAATAGGGCGTGGGGCATACAGCTGCAACTTCAAGCTTAGGGAGTTTAGCTTTGGGTGTTACTACGGTTCCGACGACATGGGAAGGATTTGTAGCGGCGCTGAAAAGTAGCATCAAAAAAACCCTATGCCAAGTTTGGACGAATTTTGATTTCGATTGTCTTCGCGTAAAAAAATCCGGAGCCAATTTGGACTGACGGTTGGAGTCATTTGATAGGAGCTCCGAGACACATCTCGCGACAAGGTTTGGCTCGGTTCAAGTTCCAATTTGGCACGCGAGCTTTTCCGGATGACATTCGGGCGCAATCCGTTTTGTTGCAAATTCGTGACCAAATTATTCAAAACTAAATTCTGTTTTTGTTCATTTTGGATATTGAGGATTTCAAAATTGCATTTATTATTGCGGTTTACAAGAACCATTATTCAGCATTCTAGCAACAAGCAGTCTTAACACCAGGTCAAATAGCCTACGCACTGGCGGGCCTTGAAAGCGCCCGGTGGGCAAGGACGACATCTCCAAGGTCGCCGTCGTCGATGAGGAACTTGTTCGGAAAGACGAACGCACCCATAGCCGGATCGTGGGGGATCCTCCGCTCCACGACAGCAAAATGGATCATCTGTTTGACCTTTTCGCACCACTCCTGGTAGTCTGGCCTGTTCTGCTCCGGCTGGCTACTGATTCGCTTGCGACGCTTATCCTGCAGAAGGGGCCATTCGATCTGCAATGTGGTGTAGGGTTGGGTGGATGGTTTATGAGGAGGGTAGGTTACGGGTAAATGAGGCAACTGAAAGCGGTGATGCAGTCGTCACTATCTACGTAACTGCAAAGGCCTAATCGACCAGGGTTTTAGCTGAAGTACAGGCAAGGGGTTAAGGGGATGAGGCATGGGGGTACAAACACATATCTACATCCTTACCGAAAACAGGCCCCATGCCACCATGCGGCTCTTGAACTTGGTGAACACCGCCCCGCCTCTCTTGAAGGAGAGCTTGAACGCATAAGCGAACAAGGGGTTGCTGAAGGGTGTCCCGGTGGCCTTGTCAAAGTGCCAGTTGAGGGCCCACTGTTCTGCTTTTTGTTAGGGAGGGTATGGGTTGGAAAGGGTTTTGTAGAGAAATCAAATGGGGGGATGAGAGTCAGGGTGAGCCACATCGCACGGTGATATGTAGCTGCCAAGGGGCATATGGTAGGGCATATTGTGTTTTCGAGTTGCACTGCACATACCATCTCTGTACTCGGCTAGGAGTTGATCGTCGTCGAACCAGGTCGTTGGGTGTAGCTCAGTGGGCAGGCTATCCACGAGATGGCTGTAATCGGCAAGGCCCATGCCGGTGTATGCTGCTGGCCTGAGGGTGGAGTTGATAGTTGACCTTGTTGAGGACAGCTGGTGGTTGAAGACTCCCATGGTTGACTTGTCATTGTGCAACCACAGCAGCTTCATTGCCTCGAGCCCTTCTGCAGACAAGTGGACAGAGAACGCTTCGAACACTTCCTCCGGTGCAGGGTAGTACTGTATTTTCTCCGGCGGGTTCAGAAACATGAGCTGAGAGCACACTAAGTAGGCTTTGTTCTGCGCAGGGGTGTAAGGTATACAACACGACATGGAAGAGAGAAACCAGCAGTTATGAGGGTGGCCGCGTGACCATGGGATGGTGACTAGCAACACTGTTTGAACTTGCCACATCACCCCCCACCCACCTGACAAGCGTCGCCTCGTCACACGCCGCTCCCGTGTACCATTCCAAACCGCCACATCAGCCCCAACCCTCACATTCTGCCACGTCACACCCTTTTGCATCCGCCAACAACCCGCCCTACTTGCCACGTCACACCCCCCACCAAGAGCCACGTCACCCCCCACCCACCTGAGACGCCTCGCTTCGTCATGCGCCGCTCACGTGTACCCTTTTAGGGTGCCACGTCATCCCCAACCCTCACCTTCCGCCACGTCACACCCACCTGCATCTGTCACGTCATCCCCCACCCTCACCTTCCGCCACGTCACACCCTCCTGCATCCGCCACGTCCACCAACCAGCCCCACGTGCCACGTCACACCCTCCCACCCCATGCCACGTCACCCCCCACCCACCTGACACGCGTCGCCTCGTCACGCGCCGCTCCCGTGTACCATTCCAAACCGCCACGTCAGCCCCAACCCTCACATTCTGCCACGTCACACCCTTTTGCATCCGCCAACAACCCGCCCTACTTGCCACGTCACACCCCCCACCAAGAGCCACGTCACCCCCCACCCACCTGAAACGCCTCGCGCCGTCATGCGGCACTCCCTTGCACCCTTTCACACCGCCACGTCATATCCCAAACCCTCACCTTTTGCCACGTCACACCCAACCCGCATCCGCCACGTCCACCAACAACCCGCGCCACTTGCCACGTCACACCCACCCACCCCATGCCACGTCACCCCCCACCCAACTGATACGCGTCGCCTCTTCACGCGCCGCTCTCGTGTTCCCTTCGAAACCGCCACGTCAGCCCCAACCCCGCCCTTGTTGCCACGTCAACCCCAACCCTCCCCATGTGGCCCGCCACATACCGGGAATGGGTTTGTCTCCTGCAACACTAGCACTCGTGCCTTGTCCACAGCGCTCATCGGCGGCGGGGTACCAGCCATAGGCAGGGCTGCCGACCCGCCGGCATAGCTGGCAGGTACTCCACGACGCAGGCCGAGCTGTGCAAACATGGCGTACATCTCAGACCGCAGCGCCTGGAACTCCTCCCGTGTAACAAACTGCTCGTGCTCCGCACTTTCACGTAGGGCACCCATGAGTGGAGGAAAAGGGTGTGAAGAATCCCCCCTCTGGCCAAGGGGATCAACGTCTTCTGCAGCAGTCCCGTGTGCCCTCACACTATCACGCTGGCGGGAAAAGGGGAGCGCTGGGAAGGGATTGGCATAACTGCCTGCCTGATGCCCGCGCGAAGGATCGGCGAGAGGGGAGACCGCCCTGCCCCGGACAGGAGAAGCGTGGAGTTGCCGAAATTGGTACGAGGGTGAGGCGAGTGGGGACTGCGTGACGGGGGCGGGTGGAGGGGATTCGGATTCCCCTCCTCTTGGCGCGCCTGGTGCCGTCGCAGCGACTTTGCTCGGGCCGGCCCATGGCGTGTAGTACCTTGGTGCTCCGGAGGAGAGCGGTGTAACACTCGCTCTTCCGGCAGCCTTCGTTAGATGCATTCGTTGCACGCTTACGGGCGGCCCAATGCCTGTAACGCGAGGGGCTGAGATGTAGAGGGAGCCGGAAAAAAAATTAGAGTCGATCGGTTTCAAGGCGGGGCCAGACATGCATGCATATTCAGAAAGGTTTGAATCTAGATCGGGTTCAGGGTTGTACTGGTTTGAGACTAGAGGGTTTACCTTGCTTGGCAGATTCGTCGACCTTCTCCTTCCCTGCATGGGAGAAACAATGTGAAAAAAGGGTGTTTTTTGGCACGGTTTAGCAGATGGTTCAACACGTCACGCCAGTTTTATTGGACACAATGCTCACCTTTCTGCTGTCCCTTCGGTTTTGGGGCAGCCTGCGCCTTCTCGTTGCCACCTTTCCGCGGGGTGCTTTGGCGGACGCTGCCCAGTTTACCGGCAGGTTCTTTCTTGCTGGTACCCACTGGAACCCCTTTGGCGCGGCCACCCTTTCCTCCTCCATCCCCTTTTGCTCCCTGGCTCCCTTGCTTTTTACCAACCCCTTCACTGACGACCTTCACCTTACGCGCCTTCGGTTTGCCCGATGCTTCGCCGCGCGCAGCGTCAACTGCCCCGCGTTTTCGGGAAGGGCGAGTCCGGCCCCCCTCCTTCCCTGTACCACTCACCCGTCTGCCACGCCCGCCCCGTCCCTTCACTGGCGCCACATCCTCCTCCTCCTCCTCCTCCTCCTCCTCCTCCTCCTCCTCCTCCTCCTCCTCCTCCTCCTCCTCCTCCTCCTCCTCGTCCTCCTCCTCCTCCTCCGCTGCCTCCTCCTCCTCCTCCTCCACATCCTCCTCCTCGTCGTCACCCTGCTCCTCCTCCTCCTCCTCCTCCTCCTCCTCCTCCTCCTCCTCCTCCTCCTCCTCCTCCTCCTCCTCCTCCTCCTCCTCTGCCTCCTCCTCCTCCTCCTCCTCCTCCTCCTCCTCATCCTCCTCCTCCTCCTCCTCCTCCTCCTCCTCCTCCTCCTCCTCCTCCTCCTCCTCCTCCTCCTCCTCTTCGTCCTCCCCGCCATCATTCTCATCTTTTTCATCCTCCCCAACATCCGCGTCATCCTCCTCCGCTTCCTCTTCATCCTCCTCTCCCTCCGCATCCTCCTCCTCATCCTCCTCCTCCTCCGCATCACCGGGGTCTTCATCGCCCCGTTTCGGCTTTGTTCCCGTCGCTGCTTTCTTGCCTCTCCTTCCGCCGGATGCTTTTCTTGCTGCGGGTCGGCCCTTCTGGCGCAATGCTTGACCGCCCGCCTTGCCACTAGCTTCCTTGGCGCCTCGCGGTGTCCCAACTGCCGCGCCACCGGCGTCGTCAGCACTACCTGTCGTCTGCCGCCTCTTCGCCCGCGTAATGAGGTCCCCGGGCACGGCGGTGTCATAATCGTCCTCCCCATCGCTCTTCCTCTGCCTACGCCTCCCCTGTCCACCAGAAGGTGGAGAGCCACCGACCAGCCCCACCGACTCGTGCTCCCCCACCTTGTCCTTATCCAACACGGCTGCAGAAACTTCGACCACGGTCGGCTGGAGCAGCGTCAGATGGTGTTGCGTTGCCGCCGCCTCGGACTCCTTGGTTGCGGCATGCTCGGCGCGGGGATCGCCTCCGTGATTTCCCTCCGTCGCCGATCCCTCCATCTCCGCCGACGGGAGTGCAAGACTCGCGCTCCCTCGCCCCGGATCTTCGTTGCCGCCAGTGGTGCCGTCTTTACTCGGACCGGGCTCGGTTCCAGCAGAGGCAACATCCGCATCTTTGTTCACTGTAGAAACACGCTTGCGTGGCGTTGGTTTAGGCCCCTTGTCTTCCGCTTTCTTGCCGGCCTCCTGTTGACCGCGCGCGACCTTTTTTGCCGCCGCTTTTTTCTGCCCAATGCCACGAGCGACGGACGCATTAGTTTTTTTAGCGCCGCCACCACACTCCCTATCGATTTGTTTAGACGTCCTCCTTGTCGCGCGGCGGCCGGCCTGTTCCTCCTCCATTGCTTGGTTACGTGTTGCACGTGTCATGGTAATTGTAGGAGGAGCAAAGTTGCAAATCGCGCGGAAGGGTTGAGCCGGTTTCGAAAGGGTTCTGCAGCTGAATCCCACGATGGGATTATCGACGGTCTATCACTGTTATGTGTTTCCGAAAACCGCCGCTTCAACTAAATCTGTCATAGTAGCCACTATTCTTCACACTAAGGCCGATCTGGAGAGGCGTGTGTCAAGGCAACGAGCAGCGTCAAAGTGTTGGTCTAGGGAGTGACGGAAGCAGGTGGGTGGGACACGAGGGTGGTTGGGGTGGGTTGCGAGACTAGAGAGAGTAATGTAACCCTATCAGGCTATATTGGACGGTGTACGTGTAGCCACCCTAGCATAAACCCACCTACCGCTCGATCTCAGCCGCTCAATGGCTGAAGTACCTCTTGGCTGATGACTGTGTTGCGGGGGGAATCGTTTGAGATGCGTCGGCCAATCACGGTTGCCAACGCATAAATCACTAAATTTTATTCAAACATACAACAATGCATTTAATCAAACTCTAAGTTGCAAATGGTTTACCACGGGGTTGGGGTAAGTTAATCGGTGATTCTTACGTCACACACACAACGACCGCCCAGAATTATTACTTGTGACAGATGTACTGTGCACTTTTAGGCTTTGCCACAATGGTTTAGGGCCAGCGGACGACATTCTAACACGATTATCAATAGTAACAAACGTGAATCCGTTGTGGTATGGTATTGGATTGTCATCCATTCTTGCACAGACATTAAACAAGGTGCTTAGAAGGAGTGGTATGAAGCACAGGCCCAACGCACAAGCGTAGATGCGTTATCGACAGCCATGGTTAGACTGTGCGACGATGCAGCGTTCAGGCCTGCGGGTTGCGCGACATGGTGAATCCGTTGTGGTATGGTGTTGCATTGGCATCCATTCTTGCACAGACATTAAACAAGGTGCTTAGAAGGAGTTGTATGAAGCACAGGCCCAACGCACAAGCGTAGATGCGTTATCGACAGCCATGGTTAGACTGTGCGACGATGCAGCGTTCAGGCCTGCGGGTTGCGCGACATGGTGAATCCGTTGTGGTATGGTGTTGCATTGGCATCCATTCTTGCACAGACATTAAACAAGGTGCTTAGAAGGAGTTGTATGAAGCACAGGCCCAACGCACAAGCGTAGATGCGTTATCGACAGCCATGGTTAGACTGTGCGACGATGCAGCGTTCAGGCCTGCGGGTTGCGCGACATGGTGAATCCGTTGTGGTATGGTGTTGCATTGGCATCCATTCTTGCACAGACATTAAACAAGGTGCTTAGAAGGAGTGGTATGAAGCACAGGCCCAACGCACAAGCGTAGATGCGTTATCGACAGCCATGGTTAGACTGTGCGACGATGCAGCGTTCAGGCCTGCGGGTTGCGCGACATGGTGAATCTGTTGTGGTATGGTGTTGCATTGGCATCCATTCTTGCACAGACATTAAACAAGGTGCTTAGAAGGAGTTGTATGAAGCACAGGCCCAACGCACAAGCGTAGATGCGTTATCGATAGCCATGGTTAGACTGTGCGACGATGCAGCGTTCAGGCCTGCGGGTTGCGCGACATGGTGAATCCGTTGTGGTATGGTGTTGCATTGTCATCCAACATTGCATGGACATTGAAACCGTTGTGTTATTGTACGACATTGTCATCCATTCTTGCATATTCATTCAGCACGGTGCGTAGAGGTACACTACACCTCGAGAGAAGACACGCTATAGGTACTCGCTCCACGCAACAATCATACGTTAGGGCATGGAGTTATTGGGTACTTCCCGTATCGTTATCAAGTAAGGGTTGTTCAACATCAGTCCTAAGGATATGAATGTTTACTAGTTATGAATGACTTGAGTGTCTTGTTAAGTTGTAATTGTACATTTGCATTTCCATGTTTGTTTGAAGCCTCTTGAGCTCACCTACGTGATTCTGATTTCCCCCCTATATCGATTCGCGACACAATCACAGATCCAAACGGATATCTTCCCGCTCTTCCTCATCCCCCTCGACTCTCACGCACGGTTCCTAAACACAAGTTCTTGACTCAATAGGCACGTCCTTCTCACCGTGCTCGCGACGCACACACACGACCGTGAGACTTAAGATCCTCCGCATTCTCCTCTGCTCACGTCGTTGTCACTCTAAACGGGGGCGACACGCCTTGTAGGGAAGACGGCCCGTGAGGTGGGCGGTCTGTATCGTGCCTGGTAACGACCACGCGGCTCGACATCGTTAGCCAGTCATAAACATTAGCGCCAATGTCAAGTGCCAGTCGTGCAGTGATACAAGCCGCCCACCACAGTGCGCGCATTGGCGATGATCGTGTAGCTGTCACAGGCTTCTTGAACGGAGTACTTAATGCGTTCACAAGCTTCATCACGGCTAGTAGCTTCATAGGCGATTTCTCGACTCTACAACGGATCCGTAACACATGGGCTCTTTACCAGGCGTCGTCTGCGAGTTCTGCAACAGATGGTTCCCCAACGCCCAAGTTTATGGCGGTCATAAGTCACGGCGGACCCCTTGCCAAGGACTATCCGCCGTGGCAAGGCCGACGCGATCTGCACCGACCGCCGGTCTTCACGCTCTGCTATTCGTCCACGACATTCTGTCGGACGCTCCAGCCGCTCCCGGTTCACCTACAGCGTCTAACGCATCCAACGCCGTCAGTGTGAGCGGTCCTCCACGCGTGCCTGAAGCTCACGTTGACGAAACTCCCAACGACGTGAACGAGGGGCCTCCTGAAGATGAACATCAACCACAACCAGGAGCTCCTGCGGCTGACACGAGTGACCATCCTGAGAGCCGGCCCGAAGGGAGTCATGCCGCGCCGCCAACAATCATCTCCGGACAGAGCAATGCCACGCCCCTCAATCCGCTCGCGTTGAAGCTGCTGCATTTCGTTCGGCGCGTGAATGGCGGAATGGGAATGGCCGAGGTTGACATCAACGGCCTGCTTCAGCTAGTCGTAGAGCCCGGCCTTGCGCCTCTTGTGATCTCGGAGCTCCGGAACTGTAAGGATCTGGAGCGGTTCGAGATGGAGCGTTTGGCAGGGCTCAATTGCGGATGGTCGGTGGCGACCTTCGAGATTGACGGTCATCCACCACAGCGCTTGCTCTTTCAGAACTCAGCCCAGGTAAGCCGACTTTGCATTCAAGGCCGTGAAATGATGATGAGGCACACAGGGTTTGCATGTACGTAGTTATCCTTGTATTAACCGTACACCCACCTTCACCGCCACTAACCATGCCTCTCCTCTCACCTGCCTTCGCCACCGTACACCAGGCATTCGCTGAAATGTTTGGACATCCCAACAACGCGCCCGGCTTCAAGCTCAAGGCGCGTGTTGATGAGGACCCTGACGCAGGCGGCCGTCGCTATACCACGCCTGAAACAGGAACGTGGTGGAACGATGCTCAGGTAAGGAAAGACCACGTTGCCACCCCAAACCCAATCCTTCCTCATGCCTCCATCGCTGCACTGATCTGTCAAGAGCATCTTGAGCCCTAAACCGTGTGTCCGTTGCCGCTTTGTCGTGCACTGCAGGAACACTTCGGTTGGTCCGAAGTTGTGGGGGGGATCATCTTATATTCGGATGTGACGCACATGAGCATCAACGGCCGGAAGAAGGCGTGGCCGCTCATGATGACGCTGGCCAACATCTCCCAGGCCAAGCGATGGGGGAAAGCCGGGCACACACTACTTGCCCTCCTTCCTATCCCCCCGTCTGCAATGTCTGCCGTGGAGAAGGTGATGCTCTTCCAGCGTTGCGTCATCACCGTGCTGCAGCCGCTTCTTGATGGCATCGCCAGGTCCGTACTCGGTTTGCATCTTGCTAAGACATCATCTCACCACCTGCATGGTATGCAAACCCTCTCTGTATGTAGCATGGCCCTTTGCCCCTCGTTGTTCCTCCCTAAAAGCCGTAACCCGAATTCCTGTTGCCCCTCTACCTGTTCCTTGCAGCGGGTTCCGTCTCAGGGACCCTTTCGGTGATTGGCAAACCGTGCGGCCCCTGCTGTACGCCTGGGTGTGCGACTACCCCGAGAGCGGCAAGATCAGTTGCACACTCTCGCATGGATCGCGGATGCCGTGCAGCATCTGCTATGCTGCAAAGGTGAGGTCACATGCCATCTGCACGCATTCAAATACATTCTCGTTTGTGGGTCGCCTGATAGAACCCACATAGCTACCACCCTTACCTTTTCTATCCCATCCCTCACCCCCGTGCTACAACAGGAGCATCTGAGTGCTGTCAAGGCACGGAACACGCCGCGCACGCCTGAACAGCAGCAATGGATCTTTAACGAGGCGGCTGGGACGACAACTAGCCAGGCTGACCCGTGCAAGGCCTACTCTACCTACCCTGTTGAGGTGAGTGACCTGTTTCCCCGGCCCATGAGTAGTCTATGCTCTCGCCCGCCCCGTCATGAATTGCCAGATGTGCTCTACCCCATTGAACTCACCCCACTTGTGGTTTAGGTTAGCTATCCACTCTCACGTACATCTCTCCTCCATTCCCCACCACATCCCCATTTCCAGTGCGTGCTCTGGAAGTGGGATGTCCCAGGGACCGCGTGGGGCAATCCCTACCTCGTGGTGATGCCTGACATCATG